GTGTGCTGGGTGTCTTTGCTCTTGATGACCCCTCATCTCTGGACCAGCTACAGCAGATATGGTCTACCTGGAGACTACAACAGAACAGCCCTTGCCCCTGGTACTTGTGGGCAATAAATGTGACCTAGTGACAACAGCTGGAGATGCTCACACTGATGCAGCAATCCTGACTCATAAGTGGGGAGCCCCCTTCATCAAGACCTCAGCCAAGACACGACAAGGTGTAGAGGAAGCATTTGCTCTGCTTGTCCATGAGATTCAGAGGGCCCAGGAGTCTGTGGTTGAGTCAAGCATGGAGAAGACCCGACAACACAAAGCCATGTGTAGCTGTGGCTGCTCTGTAGCCTGAAGATCTTAGTCAAGCAAAATGACCCTTCTCTCATGTCATGTCAAGATGACAATTCCCTTGGCATAAGAGTCCCCTCCCCCACCAAATAAGTTGCCATGGACACCTTTTCTCATTTGGTGAGGAGTTAGGTGGTAACAATGGGGTTTCCAGCATTGGCCAATCTCTATGAAGCTCTATGCAAAACTGAAAAATGTTGTTCATACTGAAAAAAAAAGAAACTGGATAAAGGACAGACTTTATCTTGAAAGCAAATTTCTATAGTTACAAAAGCTAAATGAAAAAAAATCTGGGTAAAATGTGTCCTGCCTATGAGAACAATTAGATTTCTGGGTTTAGATATAAGTCTGAAAGAAAAGATTTGAGAAATCCTTGATGTGTTCCAAGATGAATCCCTACTCTCTTCTGGAGCACATGGACATAAAGCTCTTTTTAAGTTTTCAAAGTAATTTTTTCTATCATATCTACAATTTACCCTCATTCAATTTGCTGTCCCTGAGCCCTACCATGACTGCTCACTGTTTTCTAATTCTTGATCTGTTTTTCTACAACAACATTTACACTGTAACAACAGTTACTGTTTGAATGTGACATACATTTGGCAGCAGTATTTCCCATCAATGAGGTCAAGGATTGGTGACACTATACATTGAGTGTATGACTGAATTGCACAGAGAGGACCCTGTGCTCTGCATGAAGAGCAGGATGTGTTCCAGGAAAGTGGAAGAATGTCTAATACAATACAAAATTTCTTGCCTAGGTGATTGTCTTGTGGGCGGGAAGAGCAGGCTGGAAGGCCTGTGCTATCTGGGTTATTTGATCTCTGATCACCTAGTAGGGAATATATTAGTATATTCTAGGCCCAGCTGGGTGGTACAGCAATCAGGTGGCAGGTAGGTTGCAGTTTCTTTCCAGGATTCTCCTCTCCTTCTGCTCACTATAATGTAGTGAGTGTAGGTCGTTCAGAGCAGTTCTGCTGAGCTGTCATTTTTGCTGAGATTTGCACGGACCATGAGACAGACTGTGTTTCTTTTCGGCCTTGTGGTAACTGTGGCAGTTGTCCTTGTCTCCTGGGCCTCCCTGTGTATAGATTTCTTGGATATAATGAGAATCTGCAGTCCTGGCAATGGAGGATATGATGCTTGTAATATCCCTGTCCACTGTGCACACACAGGCACTTTGTTTGGTGTGCAGTGGGAACACTGATTGGAAAACTGACAGTCTCATTAATAGAATTTCTGAATATTGCATTCCACTTCCAGGTTTGCCTTAAAAATAACAAATAGTTAACAAAATGGTAGAATGATAGTGAAATCGATTGTATTTCCTCTATACATGATTAGAATGTTATCTAGTTTCTACTACACCAACTACAATAGTCTGATTCAGTAGAATTTAGTTGCAGATGACATAAAAGGTTCTTTAGAGATTTCTCAGGTATGCATGGTGTTGGGCAGGAAGTTTAGGCAGCTTCCACATCTTGGTCCCTAATCCATGTGGCCAGAAGAAGATATTAATTTATTCTTCCATGTTGTTTTGACATTGGGCATCAATGGGC